CTTTCCCTATTACACTAGAGATAGCATTTTAGAAACACTTTCACATTAACATTAATAAAAAGGAGGTTAAGGCCTCAGGCAAGACAGTTATAGGCAGAGACAGTACTTTCTTTTGATAAATCAGCAACTGTTAAAGGGGCAGAAAGACTCCCATTGCCTGCAGAAGAAGAGTTGATTGTTTCTTTGGTGCAAAAGGATCCCACTATGGAGCATTATGGTTGAGCAGTCCACATCCTGCTCACATACTAGGTGGCCCTGCTAAGTCATAAATGTTTGGGTGGTAATATGGTAATATAGATCAGCAGAAGAATGGGCATTGTTGACCTGCCCAATTCTATCCTCTAGCTCACCAGTGGTGATCAAAGGCCATTTATTTGACCTCTCATTAACACAGAGACTCCACCTGTGTCTGTTTAATGTTAGAGCAATGTGCTTTCCACCTTAATAGGACTGTGAGAAAAGGACATTTCTTTTGCCTCTTTGGATACCCTAATCAAATTTGCTCAGTTAATAGGTCAACAGGTGCTTCCTATACAGCAAACTGTGGGCTCATCTACATGCACTATCAATGCACCTGAATAAACTAGATAATGCACCTAGATAATGCACAGTTTTTTTCTCTGGAGTTTATTGCTCCCAGGTGCAATGTTTACATGTTCATGCGGGACCATGCCATGTTAAATCGGGGTGGAGCAGCCCCAGCTGGCAGGGGGTGTGGGGGGTCAGCCTACCAGCCCAGAGCTGCTCCACTGGGGTCTAACGTGCTGCAGAAGGGCTGACTGGGGCATGAGGGTGCTCCAGTGCAGGACTAGCTAGCTAGCAGGCAGCCCCACACTGGAGCACCCTTGTACCCCAGCCAGCCCCAGTCACCAAGCAAGCAAAACGCTGGCTTGCATCCATAGATGCTTCTCAAGCAAATCCCAGGACATCATTCTCCCGTTGTACTCAGCCTTGGTGAGGCCACAGCTGGAGTACTGTGTCCAGTTTTGGGCTCCACAATTCAAAAAGGATGTGGAGAAGCTTGAGAGAGTCCAGAGAAGAGCCACGTGGATGATCAGAGGGCAGGAAAACAGACCTTATGATGACAGGCTGAGAGCTATGGGACTCATCAGCTTGGAAAAGCGCAGGTTCAGGGGCAATCTGCTGGCCACCTATATGTTTATCAGGGGTGTTCACCAGGATCTGGGGGAACGATTGCTCACCAGAGCGCCCCAAGGGATTACAAGGTCAAATGGTTATAAATTCCAGCAAGACCGTTTCAGGCTGGATATAAGGAAGAATTTCTTCACTGTCCAAGCCCCCAAGGTCTGGAATAGCCTGCCGCCAGAGGTAGTTCATGAACCTACATTGAACGCCTTTAAGAGAAATTTGGATGCTTATCTTGCTGGGATCCTATGACCCCAGCTGATTCCTGCCCCTCGGGCAGGGGGCTGAACTCAATGATCTTCCAAGGTCCCTTCCAGCCCTAATGTCTATGAAATCTATGAAAACCATCTACATGTGCGTTGCGGCACATTAAATAACTGTGCTGTAGGTTAGTACTTGCCCCAGACAGTACTGTCTTACAGCGGAGTTAATTAATTTACTGTGGCCTAATAGTGCCACATGTATAGATGGCGACATTTTACTGTGGGGCTAATGAGTCAACTCTGCCATAAGCACACATGTGGATGCACCCTGCTAGAAGTGAAAAATTAAGCTCTGAAATAAAGGTGCTCTTTTCTACCTTTCCCATCATCGCCAGCAATAAAGATTGTGCCCTTACGAATCACTGTTTGTCAGATCTGCAAGGGACAGATTCCAGCCTCCTTTTCCAGAGCTGACAGGGAAGCAAGTATGACCACCCCACTGGACCACAAATTTAACTGAGCATATACATTTGCAAGTGAAGAACTTCATTTACAATCATCACACTCACAAATAAATATGCACTTGTATATTATTATTATTATTATTATTACTACTATTATTAATACTTTTACTATAGCACCCAGAAGCCCCAATCAAGATCATGGCCTCTATTGTGCTGGGAAAGTTATTCATGTAAAATCCATGCTCTTGGGAGGTTACAACTTAAACTATTTTCCCAGATGAAGCATGTATAATAACTAAGGAAGCGCTTTCCATGTGATACTCAAATGTCACATTACACTGGATGGAGTGTTATGCACTCTTGCTTCTTGGTCTTAAAATCTCCCTGATTTGTAATAGGAAGAATCTGTCTCCGGTTAGGAGAAATGCATAAGGTTCCAATTTATTCCCTTGTAGATTAACAGAATGGCATTTTTTGATACTGACATCAACAGGAGCAAGAGAGTGCTCTAAGACATAAAGGTAAGATGCTGACCTGAACCAAACCACTACCCTCCTGGGTCAAATAGACCCTCCATTCGGAGAAGTTTAATTTTGGGTCCAAAATTTGTGATTAAGGCTCTAAGTCTATAAGAACTGAATTGTGCATATCATCATTTCACTCTTATCCAGCTTTCCCCTTAATTTTAACTGGATGCAACCACAAGCTTCATGCATCTTAAACAATGAGGTTAATGTCTGAATGTGAACCCTAGAAATTTAATAGGTGTAATTAGCTTTTACTACCGGGTGTTCTGGAGCTAACTGAGAATATAAAACCTATAAGAGATGAGAGAGATCGTTTAATATGTACACAGCCATGTTATAGACTCAAACAAAGTCACTAGGACTTCTGAAAACTGGACACTTTATATTGAATCAAGCATAAATACCTCTTTTGCCATGGAAAGCAACTTGGTTGTAGCGGCTACATCTCAGTAATGGGGGAAAAAAAATTTAAAACCATTTAGAAATAAGATCCTAGGGTAGGCTTTCATGTATAGACACCTGCTTTTTATTGCCTGTTTTATTGAAGGTGTTGTTTGCTTAAAATTTTAAACAGTGCTCACAATGATGTATAGAACACAAATATGCACATGCAGAAACAGTGACAAACACAAAGAAACCTTCAGATAGGCACATCTCCACAGTATGCAAGAGTCACTACATGAAAACACAGAGCAACTTCCCCAAGATAAAACATCACACAAAAAAACTTAACAATGGATGGAAAAACAATCCCAACGAATGCACTAAGCTTGCAGTTAAAACTCTTTCCAGTTTACCTCTGGTGTATTTCTCTCTTTCCCCACTTTTCTTCAGCAGGATGCCTTTTTCTCAGAGGTG